CGCACGTGCACTGAGAACCTTCAACAGAGAGCCTGGAACTCCTCCGCAGCATCGGTGAGCCCTCCAGCTCACCTGTCAGTTCTTTACCAGCCTATAAGGTTGGCTTTGGCCTTTTCTGTCAGTTTGCGGACACGCCCCTTTGAGGAGGTGCCAAACGTTATTGACGAGTCCTCAAACAGCAGCTGCCTCTGCTCCTCCTCAGAGTCCTCCTCCATGTACCAGGCTGACCGTCGGCCCTGGTTGCGCGTGCGCATGGAACCTACCTCCGCCTCCCCTGCTTCGCCCTTCGGAGACTCCTTTTGGCTCGATCTCTGTGAGGCGTTTTGAGGACTGGGCGTGAGCTCCTCGTTAGCCCTCCTGCTGCTCCTCCTCAGTGGCGAGGGCTCGGGCGACTCGGCGGGAGGTGCGGCCTCCTCGGTTTTTACCAGCCGGGGCCGTCCTCGCCGTCTAGGCACCGGCGTCGCACCTGAGTCCGACAGCGCCGAAGCGTCCGGCGCAGAAGAGGCGCCGCCTTCGTCGCCTGTGGAGTGGTCCTGGTCGTCGTCGGGGGTGGAGCTCCTGCGGGTGCTGCTCTGTCTCATCTCCTCCAGCTCCTGCTTGCTCTTCCTGCCTCTCTTCTTGCCAGGCGGTCGTCCTCGGGGTCTGGAAGGGCTGGCCGGGGTTGGGATTTCGGGCGGGCTCACCGGTGATTCGGTTCTGGACTTCCTCCCCTTTCTTCCCACGCCGGCGGTCACATGACTGCTGTGGCCGTTCAGCTGGACCGTGCTCTGAGGCGAAGGGCTGGTGGGCGAGCCTTAAAGAGAAAAACACACGAGTGTCAGACATCGCCTCCTGTTTGAGGCTTGTTTCATGTCAGCATCACTCACCAGGCGAGAGTCGCACAGGTGTCCTGAGTTTCCGACGGGTACTTCCACTGCTGCCCTCTGCTGGCTGGGTGGGGGTCACTTTGTCAGGAGCTGGTGGTGTTGAAGCTCGAACAGAAGTATGAGTMCGCAGCGAGCGAGAGGATTCTGACAACAAAACAAACATGACAAAGAAGTGAAACTGTTCATCGTGTTGAAGTCAGTTATTGATGCTTCGATGAATAGCCTATATGCCACGGTCATTAATGACGTATTTCCGGTAAAATTCTTGCCACGCTCCTCCCTTCCACTCCCTGCTTACTGCCTATGTTTTTAGCGTTAGCTGCTAGTACTAATCCATGAAAAAGTCACAAAAGTTAAAGCATCTGTGAGCTACTGGTATAAAACTTGAGTTCTGTTCTGTGCCGTTGTGTCCACTAAGCAGCAGATACGATCAGTAGTTAGTTTTTCTTCATTTTCCTTTAGATGAGGAGGTGACAGCAGAGGATCATAGCATTACAGGGAAAACTCATCTTTAAAAGCTCACGCTTGCGTTTGTAATCGGCATTTCTAACCTGAGGATATTCAAGAGCCAGCATCAGAAATGAGAAGATGGAGGTTACAAAAGGGAAATGTACATTTATCCCCTTTTACTGCCAAGACCAGGAGAGGAAAGACCACCTCTACACGACAGCTAGCAGGAAGCTAACACAGCAGCCGGTACAAAGGTAGGTGTGTGCGCATGCGTTTGTGTTAAATGAAATGTTTTTATGCGACTTTGTCATGAGTTTTATGCTAAAGTAAAAACTTGTTAGAGTGTATATCACAGCGTAGACTAAAGCTGAGTCACGAGCGCCCCCCTCCCCACGAGCACCGAGAGCAGCAGAACCTCCACCTGATAATTATTAGGTTTTCAGTTCACTAACGTCAGGGAAAACGATCCAAACCGTACAAGTAGTCCATCAATTTAAAGCCCAGACTCTGCTCTTTCCAACAATATAAGTGTCACAGCTCTACGTGAAAAATTCATGGAACAAGCACAAGGGGTCACGATACGATATGTCCCGATATATTGCGATACTGTAAGCAAGGCGATATATTGCAAATTTTTTTGTCCAAAAATTCTAATAAATAAAAAACCTCTTACAGGGGAAAAAAATGAAAAACCAAAATTCATTGTCTCAGAAAATTCTAATATTACACAGACATACTTTTGATACATTTAGCTGTGTTCTGCTTTGTATGTATTTTATTTTATTTGTTTCATATTTCTTATTTCATCCATGTTTCAATTTTTAGACTAAATTTGCCAATAAATAGTTTGAAAATATATTTTTTGCAGCTTTTAGTTTTTAATATTAATTTACAATATGGTCACCAAATACTTAATAATAGCCTTTATGTTGTCATAAAGTTCAGTGAACAGATGATATGAAGCTGCTGCACACAGAGTTTCTGGGATCAGCTGACCTGCATCCAGAACATGATTTGCATAACTGTGGGTCGAACAGCAGGGCAGGTCCTGAAAATAACAGTAAACAAATGGAGAAACTAAACAACACAGTTAAACTGTTTTTGAAGCGAACACAGCAGGATAAAGTTTATGGACTTTGATGCGATCATCAGCCGGACATTGAGAGCAACAGACAGTTTTATGTCACAGGGGGAGTGCTGAGCTCGAGACGCTAGATGCATGCTCTACATATGTATGCCTACCTGCCTGCCTTCCGTAACGTTGGAAAAAAGAGCGCACAAGACACTTAATTTGTCTTAAAATACAGACATTCTGACAAATAAGTAACTGTTTGTAACCTTACCTCAGCTTAGAAGGCAGAGGGTGTCGGTCTTTTCTGCTCAGATTCAGCTATCGGAGCATGAAGCTAATGTTTACTCACAATGCTAATGCTACCCTTGCTCTCTGGCGCTCAAGAGGTAGAGGAGACAAATGGCTGACTCACTGCTGCCAACTAGTGGTCAGAGGCTGAACTACAACATAAAAATGAACGGCTAGCAGGAAAGTTGATGTTTTAAACCTTAATAAAAAATTAATACAGGGATTTAGAATTTTGATACAGTATCAGGAAATGAAATATCGCGATATTTCAGTGTATCGAGATTTTCTTACACCTCCATACCATACCATACCATACCATACCATACCATACCATACCATACCATACCATACCATAATATACCATACCATACCATACCATACCATACCATACCATACCATACCATACCATTCCATCTTTATTTATAGAGCACTTTAAACACCCACAAGACTAGGATTTCAGTTCCCTTCAATAACTCGTCTAGTTTAGAAGTCTTACCCCCTGTGTTCGGCGTGTTGTTCGTAGCGTTCTGTGATGAAGGAGATGAGTGCCTGTTGTGGCGTGCAGCGCTGCGCGTTCGTCCTGGAGTCGCTGTTTCCACTTTACCATTGACCAGCTGAGGAGCCTGTTTCAGGGGGACGCTCTGCCTTAGAGAAGGTGGCCGAGCAGGAGGCGGGGTCGGCTCCCTCTTTGCCGTCACCCTGGACGACACGCGCCTTTTCCTCTCTGGGCTGCAAACAGGAGGAAAGTGAGGATCATCTCGTCTTTAATTTTATAAATGTTTATAAAGGTCATATCCTCTACCTTGACGCGCTGCTGCTTGTGGGTGATTCGCTCCTCCTCCTCTTCATAGTGTGTCGTGTTTGTCTGTCCGTAGTGTGTCGTGTCGGTCTGTCCGTGCCTCTCCGGGTCAGTTTATCTGTCATGCCGTGGATGGCTTTGTAGTCAGACAGGATGGAGCTGATGTGCTCCTCAAACAGAGCAGAAAGCCTCAGACTCATACTGTATATCTGAAGACACAACAATAAACATTAAAACAACGTAACTTCTTACTAAAATGTCCATAAATAGAAGTAGATTCTCAGATATCCAAGACTTGGTAACAAGCTGCTTTTTGGATTATCAAAATTAATTTCCTTGTTATTCCAGTTTATGAATTTATAATGATAACAATGTCCAGTTGCCTTTGATATAAATAGTTAGGATGGAATATGAGATATGTGTGTGAGTGTGTGCGTGGTTATGAGTGTGATTCTCACCCGCGACTTCTTACTGGGAGTGTAAGCTTTGGAATTGCTAAAAATGAGCCGGACGTCTTTGCAGAGCTCAATGGGAGACTGGTATTTTCCTTCAGTCAGCTTCTTTTGAACCGTGCCAAAGTCCATCGGAGAGTCAACGATCTGCAGGTAGTCCTTAGATGTAAACAAAACAAAACAAACAAACAAAAAAACAAACAAACAAAMAAAAAAACAGAAGATAAGGAATTTAACAAGAAAGAGTAAAAAAATACTTACGCAAAAAACTTTACCCAAAAAATCATTCCTAAAGTTGGGTGTGCGTGTGTGTTATATTATTTACGGGAGTAAAATTTTGACCAATTTTTTGTACAAGTACTACCACAATAAATTGTAATATTTTTTTCAGATTTAACCAGGGTTCCTACAGCTTAAGGCAAGGTAAATTTAAGACTCTTTAAGACCTCTTTAATGCCTCTTGAAATTACATTTAAGACCAACTTCACAATAAACAGAAAAGAAAAAAACAAAAAACAAAGACAGTTTTATCCAAATGTTTATTTTAACCCAAAACAACTAGCATTAGAATCATTTGGTATTAAATTTAAAAAAAAAAAGAAATACTAAAAATAACTTTGATGTTTGAGACAAATTACAGTCTTCCTTACAGTGTGTTAACATTTTTAAGACCTCTGAAAGATTGATTTAAGACATTTTAAGGCTAATTAAGGCCTTAAATTTAGATTGATGAATTTAATGTCTTTTAAGACTTTTTAAGGATTTGGGGGAACCCTGAAGTATTGTGTCATGGGGGATAAATCCTCTTTATTTATCCCTCAGGTCTCCCACTGTAAAATACAGCCAGCACAAAAACAACAGTACTTTTCTTACACCAAAGTACGAGAAAATACATTTTTTTCTCCTTAACTGTAGAGCTGAAATGGGTGGACATTATTTGTACACTCAGTAGACTTGTTGCTCTTTCAAACTGTCCATTTTGCTAATTTAAAAAGTGCCACTGCTGTTGGACCAAGCCCTTTTTTAATGGCATGCTCCACAGCAACGCACACGTTGCATGTGTGTATCCCCAAAATAATCTGTTTCCCCAACAGAGGGTACACCGCAAGGTCTGAAAAATCAATTAAGTGTACACGAGGATTCAATTTTTTATGCTTTTTTAAGCTTAAAAAGGGAGTTTGAATTATACATGCATGAATATGGTAATAAAAAACGGGGCTTTGTTTGTTGTTGTGTCTGTACCGGGTACTCCTGCAGGTCCACAGGTTCTCTGAAGGGTTCAGAGTCTTCACACTGAAAGATGAGGTCCAGCAGCTCTTTACATCGTCCTTTCCAGGCGTGAGGATCGTACGAATGAGGGCGAGCTCGCAGCTGGCGTTTCATGGGCTGACGGCCCTGAGAAATAATTACAATTTTAAAATTAGGTAAACTGGACATTAGGTGTTTTGTTTTGTTAACCTTTAATTTAAAATAAACAGCAACACAGTGGCTGGTTGTCGTGTTACCTTATGGTTCTGTGTTGATGTTCCAGGAGTATTAACATCTTCGTCGTCTTCCTCATCGTCCTACATAAATCAAACAGAAAAGAAAAATAAACCCCTCAATCAAATTAGGGGTAAACAAGCTGTGCTGCAACAGAACACAGCTATGTTGGTGGTGCTTGTTTTATGCATAACGTCTCAAAAATAAAAATTAAAAACAAAAAAACATTCTGCTGTAAAAAAATCCTTTCATATAACAATGTCCTGGATATTTGAGATTTAAATATTGCGCTAACACACCTCGTCTTCAGAGTCAGAGAAAGTGGCCTTCTTCATGGTTCTGTAGAGAGGCATGAGGTCCGTCAGACTTTGGTCCCTGCAGAGACAACAATAATTTTCATTTATTAATACAACATGCCTACAACAGTGCTATACACATAACTGACCCTCATACATACTTAATGAACGCCAGCATGAGGTCAGAGTTGAACTTGGCGGTGGTGACAATGAACGCTCCTGGCTCGTTGAACGTCTGGGCGTTGTGTTCTATGTAGCGAAGCTCCCACATCAACGAGGAAAGCCGTCTGAAATATTCAACACGACCTGGTTGATGACGCTCTCACACACAGAAGCTGTCTGTCCTGCAGCTTCAGGACCACATACCTGTAGAAGTGATTCACCAGCCGTTGGCGTATGGTGCTGAGGTCGGTGACGTAGGCCACCACTGTGCAGTACGTCGGGTACGCTTGTAAATCCACCGGGAAGGCAAACGGTGCCGCCACATCTGATGGAGCCCGGTTTGTTGGGTGGGTGAAAGACATATATAGAAAATAGTAATTAATGACAGGAGATACTAGCTGTACAAAAACTGAACATAGAAGTGTATGGGTTTTATTGGAGACAAAAGTCTAAAATCAAATGTTAGTAAAGTGTATGTTTAATCAGATGGCTCAAGGTAGGGCTGGGCGGTATGACCTCAAATTCATATCACGGTATAAATTGAACCCCTTCAAGGTAACGGTATATTTCGCGGTAGAAAACTATCATAAAAAGTAAAGATTTTAATTTTTAGAGTTTTTTTTTGCAGAAAACTAATCTTAATTAAACCCAACATTTTTACTTTAATATCAGCCTGCCAAACAATGAGCTTCTGCCTCCTGAACTCAGCTGCTGCTCTGCTGCGCGCTCATCTTCATCATCAGAGCAGAAGCCGACTTTACATTAGCAAAATGGATTTATGACTGAACTAACGTCCACGTCTTTTTTTAATCATCTCTGTGGTGGGTAACAATACATAAAAACAAGTCCTGATGCATCTCAGTAATCCAGGTAAAAAATCAAAAAGAAAAAATTTTTATAGGTCTTCTGGACGGGTTCTTCTCTAATGAAACGTTTCGTCTCTCCTCCAAGAGACTTCTTCAGTCTGAGAGTTTCAGGCAAAATTCAGGCTTTTAAGCCCTGCCTCCATGTGACTGATACTCACATCACATGGCTATCGTTGACACCTAATTAGCATCTATTGTTAACAGGGGGTGGAGTGATACTGGCAATAGCCGCACTGTAGGAGGGGGACAACTGAAAAGGGAGGCCTCCACCTCTGTTTAATGATGGACGGTCTTTCTTCACAAAAATGGCTTCTTTTACTCCTCTCTCAAACCAACGTTCCTCTCTATCAAGAATGAGAACATCCTCATCTCTGAAAGAGTGACCGCTGGCCTGTAAATGAGTGAAAACTGCAGAGTTCTGGCCATTAGATGTAGCTCGTCTGTGTTGGGACATTCTTTTGAACAGTGGCTGCTTTGTTTCCCCGATGTATAACTGGTCGCAGTCCTCCTGGCACTTAACAGCATATACAACATTGCTCTGTTTGTGCCGGGGCACCGGATCTTTGGGGTGAACCAGCCTTTGCCGTAATGTGTTTTGGGGTTTGAAAGCCACTGGGACATCATGTTTAGAAAATAAACGTCTCAGTTTCTCCGAAACACCTGCAACATATGGAATAACCACTGGTTTGGGTCTGGGTTTGGGGTCTTCATTTTCACCTGAAGGTTGCATGGAATCCTGTCTGTGTTTCCTGTCTGCTTTCAGGAAAGCCCAGTCAGGATAACCACACTGCTCCAGGGCCTGTCGTGTGTGTGATTTCTCTTTCTGCCTGGCTCCTGKGTTTGTAGGGACACTGTCTGCTCTGTGGTATACATAAAAACAAGTTTTTTCTCCGACAACTTGGGTGTGAAAAAAAAAGTTTCGCTCTGCGCGACGTGGAGGGAGGGAGGAAGGAAATGATCCTGACTTAACTTTTCTACAGTGGGAGGGGGAAATTTTGAGCATTTATTATCTTTATGCRTTCTAAAACGTTATAATATCTTTGTTTTATTTCGAACTCCTCCTGCTCAGTTGTCTCTGCACTCGCAGCCCTGTTCACACAGGTGCGATGACGTAATGATGATAGGATGGTAGAGGATAAATTTCTACCGTAGGCCAACTTCATACCATTTCCATGGTCTACTGCATTTACCGCACAGCCCTAGCTCAAGGTAAAGAGTCAGGATTCTTATATCTCATAACATCTTATGAAACCTTTTTCACCCAACCATACTTTTTATTATGACCCCCGCACGCGAAGTGTAAGCGGGAGTCATATTGTTTTCGTAAGTCATATTGTTTTCGTACTGTTTTTTTTTYCAGTGATTTTTGGTCAATCGTAGCCCAAAAACAGCTGCACCAATCAACATGAAATTTGGCAGGGCTGTAGATGAGTCTGACCTACACTGCTCCAGCCAATGGTTTTACGATAGACCCCATATTTGAGGAGAGGGCTCCTTTCAAAGAGGGGGTGTCTGGACATGCAAAAATGSTTATAACTCAGAAACTGTTCAACATAGGAGCTTCAGATTCCTTTTGTTGTTTAGCTCTGATGAGGCTCTATCCATCAGGCCCACCAATCAGTGCCCCCACCCCCCAGACCCTCAATTTATCTGAAAAAGGGGTATATGGACATACAAAAATGGTTATAACTCAAAAACTATTAAACATAGGAGCTTCAGATTTCTTTTGTTGTTTAGCTCTGATGAAGGGCTATCCATCAGGTCAACCAATGTAATAACTAATTTCCCTCAGTGATCAATAAAATACTCTGGTTCTGGTTGAGATTAGAGATAGGGTGAGAAGTGCAGTCATCCAGGAGAGACTCCGAGTAGAGCCACTGCTCCTCCACATCGAGGGGAGCCAGCTGAGGTGGTTTGGGCTTTGGTAAGGATGCTCCCTGGACATCTCTACAGGGTGTATCAGAAAAAATGATGCTCTCAGAAAAACCGCCATAAAATTAAAAAAGATAATAATTTTGAAAATGTGGGCGTAACCTTTGGTAGAGGGGATCACTCTGCTTCGAATGACACCAAAATCTTAGTTAACGCTTCACTCTCCAGTGAGCAGGGACAGCTGGAAATTCACAAAATTCATGTCCTTTGCACAAGGGAATGTGAGGGTTAAAATATGATCTGTCACATAAAATTAAAAGTTTAGATGGTGTTTTACACCCATGCCAAGGCATTTTTAAAATAATTAACCCTTTCACGTCCTAACGTCGAAACAAAAATATCTCATTTTTGAGTGGATCATCACCAAGGGTTAACAAACACATGTGAAGTGGCCGTGAACAAGTCAATCCAGCCAACTAACATGACATGTAATGTACTGTACATGTACATGTATTCAGTGAGTATTACATGTAATTATTACATAACCTGGTACAAGATCATGTGATCATGTGGTCATTTTCTTTCATTAAAACAACATGATCACAAACATCCCAGAAAAGCTGGAAGAGGTGGCTGTGGGAAAAGAGGTCTGGGCCTCTCCGCTACCCAATTCTGAATCAAGTGGAAAATTAAGGATGGACGGACGTGGGGGCAGCTGTCAGGCTGAGCACAAAGTGAGCTGAGGCAAATACAACAAGAGTGGAAGTGAGCAACCAAATAATTGTGCACAGTCTTAAATACAGCCTTGCACGCTGCGAACTCTAAAATAAGTCATGATTTACAAAAACTGGTCAAGAAAAATGAGTCCCAAAAGATGGCTGGTCTCTCAGACCAACAACACGTACACTATCTGTGATCTCAGTGGGGTTTACAGGGTTAAATTAAGGTAAATTATTAGTTGCAAACACTCAGAATTCTGTGAGACTGCAACTAAAAATTACACAATTTTCTTTCTTCACGCAGAATACTGCTTTATCTCAGATGTTGGGAGTTTTTGTTTATTGTATAACGTCCACTAGAGGGAGCCCTCAGCTTAACTTTATTACACCTACTTCACTAATGACATTATCTGATTTAATGAGAATACAAGCACACACCTCAGTGCTTATTTCAATGTGTTCCTGGAATTATTCCTGTCAACATGCTCTGCCTCACTCAGAGCCGTGACTCACGTTATTTGAAGTCATGCTGTTTGCTGCTTGTTTCCGAGAAAAGTGCCTCAGCGGCTACACTTCATATTCCTGCTTATGTGACGAAAGCTCAACCGTTTTATTGTAGCGGCCTTGACCACATCGTACCGAGTGTGCAGAGCTGGTCGATGGCTTTAATGATGCGCTTGCACTCTTCTGCGCGTGTGTGGCAGCCCCATTCTCCGTCCTGAGGGACGTACAGCAGCTGCTTCTGCTCGTCCTCTGTCAGCGGAACGCTTGTGCCCAACTCGTCAGGAAACGTGGCTGAAGCAGAACGAAGACAAAAGGAAGTGTTTTTTTTAAAGAGAGGAGGAGTTTAAACCGACACGGATAGCAACATGTTAGACACTTACCATCATCAGGGATGAGCTCCATGTCCCAAGGACTCATCTTCTCCGTGTCTCCATTATCCCAGCTGCATCAGAAACAAAACTGAAATGAAACCTCCACATCAATCTGTTGGCAGAATTACTTATTTGCATCTCTGCAACGTGAAGTATTGCAGGAGATGATGTTGCTCTTTTAAAACTCAAAATAAATAAAAAAATGTGGAAATCTAAACTTCTAAAGATGCAGTTTACACCAGATAAACTTAGCACAAAAAGAAGGAAATGTGTGTTTGGTAGATTATTTCTTTGTTGTAACAATGCTTCTTGGCAATAAATCTGACTGGCAGCACCTGGGGGTACCAGAAGCTCAAAAGTGTCAATATCAACAAAATCATCTGTTTGGGAGAGAAGATTTGAAAACATTTTTGTGTGCAACCCACTCTGCTCTACTGCTCATCCTACAAAAGCATGTTCCTTACAAAAAAATTTTTTTATACACTGTATTGATCCCCTGGTGGGGAAATTAAGTCTCTGCATTTTACACATCGCACATGTGGAGCAGTGGGCTGCCAATTACAGCGCCCAGGGAGCAGCTGGGAGGTTAAGAGCCTTGCTCAAGGGCCCAAAGTGGGGCTGGTTGGTCCGCGGGGAGTAGAACCGGCGACCTTCCGATCACAGACCACCCCACAATTAGCTCAATTGAAATGAGCTTAAATTAGCTTCATTTAAAAGAAAAATGAACAGGCTTTTTAACGGTATAAGATTTATTGCCAAGAAGAATTTTTACAACAAAGAAATAATCAGCCAAACACAAATTTGCTTACTTTTAATGCTGAGTTTAGTTTTGTTGTGTTAAGCTGGGGTCAAGTGTTAAATAATGGTGAAGCACTGACTCTCAATCATCACCCTCTAATCTAAAATCTTATTATTACACCAGACACACTCTTAATGCTAATCAATTCAGTTTTGTCTTCATCTGAAGGAAAACACGTTTTTCTGAAAAAGCTGTGTTAGTTTCAGCTGCTTAGAATGTTATCAGTCCATTAAATGGACATTTTTAGCCATTATCAGTCCCATAGAATGGCTTCAGACTGTCCCAACAGTGCCCCCAAGTGGGTTACCAGTGCCATAGACATTGGAATGCAACAATCTGCTACCGTCGGAGTCCGGTCTACTTTATCGTAGCCCATGTCATTTTCTCTAAAATTAACCTTAGTGGTTTTATGCCTCATATTACCCACCTGACAGTCTGAAGCCTTTCTATGGGACTGATAACGGCTAATAACGTCCATTTAATGGATGATAACATCCGAAGMGGGTGTTAGTTTTCATCTTTGCCCTTTATGCAGTTAGGATTACCAGATCTCCTAGAAAATGTAAAAACTACAAAGCCCATTCATAAAAAGGTGAGACTGTAATCACATCTGTCGAGTGAAACCACATCCATGTGATTCGACTCAAAACCCAGATCAAACCCAAGCTGCGGTCGTACCAGACGTTGTAGCACTGAAACAAGCTGTCAGGATACTGAGACTGGTACGGTTCTTGGCTTTCAATGGTCCCGAACCACCAGGCATCATCAATCACTGACCGAAACCTGTCACCTGTGTACACACACACACACACACAAACACACACACACCATAAACTATTCAAATCTTTACCAAATAAGACTAGCTTAGCTAAACTAAAACTGTATTGATGAGATGTTTCTGGTTAAACTGAAGTGTTTTTGGTTTGAACTGACCGATACTCCACTGTCTCTTTCGGGCGTTGTCAAACTGTTGCCGCAACACCAAGAAATCAATAACATCAGGCATGTCGTGATATCTGCAAGGAGACAGATTTTTACTCACTCTGAGCAAAACTTTACAACGTAACAGCTGCAAGTGTTTTATTTCATTAAAATTGAAATGAAACAGATGTGGTCGTCTCTCAATAGTGTGGATTCAGTTTCCTAATGTTCTGCCCTGTGAAGGAGAACTAATACTCCAACTGGAAGATGAGTTGTTCAGACTCTTTCAACGATTAGTATGCCTGAAACATTTCTGAACTGTTGGAAACAGTGAGAACAGAAGCTGCATGGGTACGATTAATAACACAAAYGTGTGATAACATCAGAAATGCGTGTTTAATGTGAGTTTTAGTTCTGACTGCAGACAGATCTTACTTCATGGAGAACGAGCCTCCTGTCAGCTTCCCGGTGTCCGGGTCCAAAAAGGCTAGTTTCAGGCAGCACAGTGTCGGCAAACCAACCTCATACTTGATGCCGACAATCTTCATCAACTCTTGTTCCTAATGTTCATTAAAAAAATAATAAAACAGAGGAAAAACACTCAAATGAACATATCCTCTCAAAAAAAGGTTATTTACATACATTAGCTAATAATATAATATACATTTTAGACACTGCAGCAGTGGATGGAAGATAAATCAAGTATATCTGATGTATCATAAGTTCTGTATTGTGTGATTTTTAAAATAAGTTTATTGTAAAAATCAAATAC